GGGCAACATTCCGACCTGCTTTTCAGCACCGCTCAACATTCTGGTACGGATTTCGGCACTTCGCCTTTAATTGGTCAGACAAATCAAAATCCGCCAATAGAATTTAAGCAGGTGCCGAATCCTATACCGGAATGTTTAAATGCATCCCGCATATACTTTCGTCATGTGATAACGAGTTGAAACAAGAAGCTAATGAAAAAGGAAAATATCTCCTTTGCGAATATTCAAACGTGTCGTGACCAGTGGCGCAATTAGGGGGGACTAAGCCCCCGTTAATTCGCCCCCCCCTCCCAGAATAAATCACTAAATCATTAACTAACGATATCTACATATCTACCCTAGTTCTTTATTTACCTTTTATTCGTATTTCACTGAGTTTTAATCTTCTCCTGAAGATGCTAACATAGTTAGCGAAACACGTGTCGAGGCGTTTAAAAAAAAATCGGTTTGGTTAGTGGTAAAACAGTGTAGTGTATTATCGTGCCAAATGTTCCAGTCTTCGATATATCGTATTTCATTCCTAAATTGTATTTCAAGTTTTATTGGTTGCCTGATAATGCTTCTGAAAAAATAACGAACGCAGCTATTGTGAATTTGATCAGCCTGACAGGTCAAGTAGTGGACTGAAGTTTCGGCTGAAATGACAGTTCTGAAAAATAGTTTAGAAAAAAAGGTCAGGATGCACAATATGACACTCTCAAAAATGAACTCAGGTAGAAGTATTTCCATCATTTTATGTGCTTTTTCAAGTAGCAATAACAATGCCAATATCTTCGGCAACGTGTGGAAGGTCATTCTCCATAATGAGGTTAATTTTGAATTGGTTACGATTTTCAATGGGCCAAGAAAGATTCTCGTCACTTGGTCTATTATTTATAGAAAAAGACATCTATATTGATCTTAATACTGCAGTGGATAGATATGCGGCAAAAGAAAGAAAAATAAATTTGTCACGTTAGTTAGGTTAGTTTTAGTAATTAATCATTTCATTTTTATATAGTTTGTTGATTATATTAAGCTATCTTTGGTTTATCAAAATTATTATTCTGTAGTAGTTCCTTGTGATATTTCAGACTCACTAAATCATTCCTTCTGATAACATGGGGCAGTAGCCCCCCCCCGAAATGTCCGAGCTAGTTGCGCCCCTGGACGACTAAAACTGATCTAAGTTAGTGGCAGAGCGTCATCATTTCCGAGAATATTCCGCCCTGGCGAAAGGTAATATCCGATGGACAGTTTCACACTGGTCCATCGGATATTATCTTAGAGAGGGGCGAAATATTCTCGGAAATATACGTTCTGCCAGGTGCAGCTCGATAAAATACAATGTTTTTGCATGCATTTGGGACATATATCATTTTCGTTATCGAAATTTGCAGCCATCTATGAAGGAGTACCTATTGAGAAAATATAAAAATGTACTTATCATTGAACTTTTCTTTTTTCAACATGAAAATGCGAAATGATTCTCGAGAATGATTTTTTCTTTACTTAGACGCTTCCCAGAGACAAAAAATATTCAGATTAAGATGTGAGTTACAGGGTGTTGATTTAATTGATTTCCAATTTACCATTTTCATATTCAGATTCTAGGAGTGAACACTATGTTCCATGTCACATCTATATCAACATCTCAACTGAATAGGAAACAATGTTACTACCTCCGTTCAGAAGAATGCAAGCTGATTCTATATTTTTCTTTTTTTATCTTCTCTTCCTAGCTGCTGGTAGGTCACCCACTAAATATGCCTTTTTTGACAAAATGATGAAATATGAAGGGAAATAAGAAATTCAATATACCAAAGCATGAAAGAGTTATGGGTTTCACGATTCCAACATCTGTTATCTCAGAACTATCAACTTTTGGAATGAGGTAAATTGGGCTCAATTTTTATACCGGGCAACACAGGGTATCAAACCACTCATGAAACTTCTTCAATCGTAGATTCTTCTGAAATTTGGTACAGATATAGATACAACTGTACCAAATGTCAGAAAAATCCGTCTAGGAATGCAGGAGTTACAGAGGTGGCCCGATAACCTGTGTCACCCAGTATTCTAGCTTCAGTATTTTGTGTCAACGTTTTGTACTGACCTCTCGCCTTACAGAGAAACCGTATTCTAAATGCTCAAATCTGTGAAAATGAGCAAATTATATTTTTATTATTTATATTATCATCATAAGTAATCACGATGTTCTGAATATTCGAGATAATTCTGTCGCTTCATTGTTCACAAAATTGACTTAACAATGAAATACAGAATAATGAGAGTGGTAGTTTGCTAGACTATTTCACGTTCACGAAGTATAAAAAAGCATCTATCATGAATGAGTGATTCATTCTGACAAGTACAGCCATAACTATTTTATACCAAACTGACAGAATTTGCTTCGCTATTCCATTGTCGTTCTAGATGACAACCTAGTTAGGTTGTTAGTTGGCGAGAGCTATACCTACCTCCTCGCACTAGGTCGCTTACTAAGTTTTCATTTAGATCGACAATGGCTATCCATTATTTCATCCAGATTTTTCTTCGCTATCCATGGTTACATCGTTGAAAAAATCAACGCTAATAGACCGATCAGAATTGAAAGACAGCTAATGTTTTCGGGATAAGCACACGTTGTATCTGGCTTGTGATTGGTCAGATTATGTGATGAGTGAAACAGTCATCATTATCAATGAAATTCTCTGATAGAATCTTTGTGATAATGAATATCTAAATATCTAATTCACTTTACAAATCGCGTGATAAGTAAATGGTAGGAGAGCCGGCTGCAAATCACTATCCTGAGCAAATTGTTTGAAAAATTGAACTTCTTTGTGCGGTAATTCGCACTCAATTTCGTGATTCCAATCGAATGATAAAACTTTCTGTGCCACTCAGTTGCTGCCATTATTCCAGACAGGCTCTCTTCATGTGATAAAAAGTTGAAACAAAAAGCAAATAAAAGAGGCTAATGTTCCTTTTGTGTATATCCAAACGTGCCGCGATTCAAACTGATCTAAGTTAATAGCAGAACGCCAATATTGCCAAGAATGTTTCGCCCCTGTCGAAAGATAATATCCGATGGAACAGTGTAAAACTCATGTTGTGATCGCACTACAAGTATTCAAATGAACATGTTGAGTTTTACACTGGTCCATCGGATATTATCTTTCGACAGGGAGCGAAATATTCTCGGAAATATTCACGCTCTGCCACTAACTTAAATCAGTTTGACTCCTGGCACGTTTGGAATTATCCTCTTTCATTTGCTTTTTGTTTCAACTCGATTTGATCAAGGAGTCGTAGTTCAGGTAGTGTTTGAGATATAAAATTTCTTATTTCGTTATCAAATCTCGTGATCAAGTGCAAATTATTGCACAGGAAAAAGTGATAGTTTTCAATTATTCTGCTCAGGATATTGATTGGCACAGGTGCCGTTCGATGAAATACAATGATTTCTACTAGCGTGCGGAAAACTCAAATTTTATGCACTCATTTTAGTGTTTTAGAGTCACTTTTCCGTACTAGTGCGGAAAAACTTTCAACGCTCAAGTGAGTGCGAAAAAAAGGATAATAGGAAAATTAGTGTAGCTTACACCTGCGTAAAGTGACTTTTTTGCACTTGTTAGTGAAATTAATATAATAATGCCTTTGGGATATATTTCATTTCGTTATCAGATGACGGTCGAAATTTGCAAGCGGCTCTTGGACTAAAATGATTTCTCAGATTTCGTGTCGTTTAAATAATTTCTCATGCTTTCATGCTAAACACGAAATATTCCAACATTTTTAATAAATACAAAACAATTGAAACTATTCACTTTCCCTGTTAGTTGGTGGCACTAACAGTGTATTATTAAAAAAGAAATTAAGTTAGAATTAGAACGCTAATGAAGATGTCGAGTTATCACTAGTTATATTGTTCTATTGTTTTTCTATATACAGTGTGGAAAACTATGATGGAATAAAATTCCATAATAAAAGTATATCTTGAAAACAGTTCGATTCTACCATCACTTCATTCTCAATAGTTAAATATAATTGAATTAAACAAATTTGCATTTGTTTAACAAATTAATCGGCTTTTCAAAAACACTATGAGTACACTTTTTCCAACTGTCAGAAATTATCATGTGTGATTAATTATCAAAGCGTCAATTACAATTCAGATTGACCGAATAAAATTCAGAAAGTATATATAAGTATGAAAAATATTTATAATCGTTATACAGTAGAATAGGTTCTTGTATTTTGTAATTTAATCTATTTTTGTGATAATTCTGTAGTTTACATATTTCGAATTGTTCTGAAGTTTTTTTTTCAATCAGATGGTTCCTATACAGGGTGGCATTGAAATAAGTGCAAATATTTCAAACCCAGAGAAAGCTCGACGAATACTATCGAATGGCACCAATAACAATAATCTATAGGGATCAAAATAAAATTTGGCGTTAGACCACCCAAAGTTCTACACTGTAGCAATTCTGACGTCACCTCTGTTCAAATTCAACGCGGAGTACAATCATTTCAATTGTTTCAAAGTCGCGGGAATACTTGATATTTTTTCTCTTTTTTGTTCAATTTTCGGGATGAAATTTATCGTTAATTAAAAGGATTAGAAAAAATCTGATATCATGGGAATACTCGTTGGACTGTGCTGAACATATCTACTTATTTCAAAAACATCTCGTATAAATGTGAAACATGGTTGAATTTGAAACATGATGATTCTAAAATGTTCTGACTCAACCCATTGATGCAATCTGAATCATAGATGAACCACAATTCACGTACTTATATGCTGAATTACAAATGACATTCTCAGAATTATAATTATTGATTTCTAATTGTCGATCGACTAATATATGGATTTCGTCTTATGTTATCTGAATTTGAATAGACTGATGCGAATTACATGTTTTTCGAATAACAATCGTCGCTTCGTGAATTTCAATGTGCTACAAGTATAAAAGTGTGGATGGAATTTTAGAGATTTATGCATTTTTCAGCTGGGCTGTATCGACTGTTATGACGAGACAGAACACCATACCTTCAGAGGATGGGGAAAATATGATAAATGCTCTCATACCGCTTTGGGATATGTGTAATCATACTAATGGAACGGTAAGCAAGAGTAAATCTCACATAACCTTCAACTAGAAATTCCAACTTTATTATCAAACCAATTTTTCAAAAGCGAAAAAAATATCTACTTGATTATATTCAGATATCAACGGACTATAACCCAGAGTTACAACGCAGCGAATGTCTCGCTTTGAAGGACTTCAAACCAGGTGAACAGTTTTTCATATTTTATGGAGCACGTACCAATGCTGATCTCTTCATACATAATGGGTAAGACAATAAATTCATCAAATATTATGATTTCGGGAAATTGTTCTTGTAGATATTAATAGCATGCAAAAATTTGAAACACCATCACCCCCGATCCTCCCTAATTATTGTAGGATTATAAAATCCGCAGTGCCCAGAGATAATAAAGATATACAGGATGGTTTATGCAGGCCACACATTAGAATTTTCGCAACTCCATGCTATTTTAATCGACCATTTCTAATCTACCTGAAATATTTTCAGTCCTCCAGCTATACAGAGTGTGCCAAAAGTCGGCACCTACTTTCTTATTTCAAATATAAACCTACATTTTTTCACACGGTTCCAACATTTTTTGTATCTATAGCGAACCATTCAGAATTAAACTACTAAATTTGTAGGGCAGTTAGCTAGAAGTCCTGGTTAACTCCTGATGGTCCAATTTTGTGCTTGATGGGCGCAGGCGCTTTTCAAATGTCAGAATGTCACATTAATAAAATTGCCGAAAACTCAATTATTTCAAATCGCACCTGTTGGCGTCTAGCAATCAGATACGCTACTGCTCAGTGAAATGTACTCACATCAGAAGCTGGCTATCACAGACAAGTGCAAGTGCTGGTTAATCAGTGTTCGGCGTGTATATAGTCGAACTTAGAACAAGCATACTCCATGTCCATCTTATACCTATTTCGTGATAAAATGCTCGTGTTTATTGAAATGTAATCATAAGCTAAGGTGGGTTGACACCTAGGTCTGGTTAAAGGTGAGTTGACACCTAGGCTTTCTGGCGGGGTGGGTTGACACCTAGACATGGTGGCTAGGTGGGTTTGCACCTAGGCCTTCTGGCTCAGGTGGGTTAACAATTGTGCTCTCTGGCGAGATCGAGCGAGCTCTGGAGGACTTGAAATCTAGTCAGGATTAAACCGAGCTTGTTCGGCCGAGAGCGTCCTAATCTCAGAATGATTGTGTTGGCGTCTAGCAATTAGATACGCTACTGCTCAGTGGAATGTACTTACGTCACTAGCTGTCTATCACAGACATGTGCTAGTGCTGGTTCATCAGTGTTCGGCGTGTAGTCGAACTTAGAACAAGCATACCCCCATATCCATCTTATATTTCGTATAATGAAGGAAAATTGAATTTGGGAATGAGTATTACTACCCATCATCTGCTATTTCATGTTTTTTCTGCCGCTGGTCCTTTTCGAATAGATTTCCGCCAAAAATTTATATATATATATATAATAAATATTAAAACTCCACAAATGCTGAGATTCTCCTAATATTTGTTTGTTTGTTAGTTTTTGCATTTAGTATTAGGGTGTCTCAAAACACAACGACATCCTTTGCAGAGCTGATAGTCCAGCTCATGACTGACCCGAATATCACAATATGACATTAGTAAAATTTTGATAGTTTTGGAGATATTGACACTTTCACGAATTTCGTGAAAATCGAACCTATATAGCATTATCTTTTTTCGAAGATAGGAATTTCTTTTCGTGCGCTCTAAGAGATGAAACAAAACATAGAAAGTGGCTTCTCTATGACACTCAATAGACAAAACAAGTGTATTTTCTCTGCCTAAGCAAAAAATGGTTGTTGCTATGCAACGTTCCAAGTAAAAATTTTAATAAAATTGGTAATCAAAATTGAAAATGACTTTGGGTGAACACGAAATGATGAATTATTTTGACTTTGCGTGAAATTGGAACGAATTTGGAGAAAAAATTATATGTTTCACATGACAGACAAGCAGGTTTTCTGCCTTGGCTGGTTTCCTAGCCTCGGCTACGCCTTTTTTTGGCTATGAAACGCCAGACCCGGCATTAAATCTTGTGCTTTTCTGCCTAGTAAAACAAAGTATTCTCCAATTTCTTGAAATAACTCACATGGTGATTTTCTTTACAGTATGAAGAGTCGAACAAACACGTTTTTTTCTTCAAAGGTATGGCAATATTTGTATTTCGGATTGTTATCAATTGAAGGGTTGCATCACAAGAAATAGAATCTTAAACTATGAAGTTTTGTACCTTTGCGAACTCGAAATATTGATCAAAGGTTTCGATTTTCACGAAATTCATAAAAGTGCCAAAATCTCCAAAATTATCAATATTTCACTAGATACCAAGGTCATATCGTGATGTTCTGGTCAGTCATGAGCTGGAGTTTCACAGTCCTCCAAAGGGTTGAGTTTTCAAACACCCAGTACATCTTATTATCTCAAATGTCTTAATACAGATTCATTTATGACGAGAATACTCACGATGGCATTTGGATAAGACTTGGTATCAGTAAACAGGATCCACTCCAAGAAAAAAGGACTGACCTGCTCAACAGATTAGGCATAGCTACTTCTGGCGACTTCTTCATCAAGAAAGGGTCTGATCCAGTAGACGGAACATTATTGGCGTTCTTGAGAATTTTCAACATGGACGAAGGTGGGTTTACATTTTCACCAAAGTGCGGTTCTATTTCACAATTTTAATTGAATCTAATACAGGGTGGCATCGAAATAAGTGCAAATAAATATATATTTCGAATCCTGAGGAAGCTCGACGTATACTTTCGAATATGGCACCAATCAAAAAATTAGGGCACATTAACCTACCATTAGCTCAACATTAACTGAATATTTAGTACTGTGTGTGAGACCAACGAAAATGAATGTATATACATCGATAGCAAGTATTATTATAATAATATTTGAGTATTATAATCATCCATACATCATGTGGACCAAACAAAGAACACGTGAGCGTGCGGGAATATTGCCACACTGCTCATTTTTACTTTCGCATTGCTTTGGTGATATGAAATACTTTCGAAGCTACTACACAGTGTGCTATATCATGCTTTCATAGGTGGTCGTAGGAAGAATATTTTTTCGTTGACCTCTAGTCACATTTTACGGTTCTAATTTCCGAACGAAAAAACGACTATTAACGAAGGAAAGTACTTTTCGTCCGCAGAAACTAGCTTCTCGTCCCCAAACACTTTTAATCCGCTGCAGGGTTGCCAGTTCTTCAGAATTTTCAGTAGATCTCCTGATTTGCATATTGATCTACTGAGCTACTGAAACATTTCATAATAACCTACTGAAACATACTTTGACACTTATTTATTATAGTAATTACCTATATCATCATTTATCTCTAGTTATTCACATACACTTATTAATTGCTCTGTAATTGATTTTTCCAAACTAGTAATATATTTACATATATAGGTACTAATGATATGTATAAACCAAAAAAGGACAATACATTATGTGATTCAGATCAAATTCAATTCTTTATATGCCTCTGTTATATCAGTTTGTGTCTTACGTCTGATTTTTTTTATTTGTTTTGTATTTTTGTTGTTCATTTCTACTATCCGTTTCTGTTTTTTATATACTCAAATCTTGAAAGTACCTATGTAACTGTAATTTGTGATATTTGTGAGTATTTTCAAATAAAAAATTAGGAATATGATTATTTCTTCATGACAATGTTCGTTTTGTTTGTTTCTATTTTGTTGGAAATAGGTCGTTACTTTTCTGTTTACTAAAAGTACATAAAGTTTCGACTTCATAGGTTTATTTCATTATCTTTTCTTGGAATTCATATAGCATCTGAATTTTCGACAAGATATTTACTGATGAAATAAAACTCGAACTGGCAACTCTGGTCCGCGCGGAGAGTGAGTTGACAACAACTGTCATTTGCTGTTGTCAAATTGATTATTCAGGAAATCCGATAGATTTCACGTGTGAATAGGACCGTGATGTGGATATAAGTGGCGAAAAACTGTCTAATGCCGCGTCTGATTGCTAGCCTCGACTAGGGCCTCGGCTATCAATTTGCAGACTCAACTTCAATAGACAGTTTTTCGTCCTTAGTACATGGATAACTATCTCAATATCCATTTCAATACGCATTTTTTTTTTCCTAACAGAACAACTCCTGCATTGGTTGGAAAGCGACCGAAGCGACGATTTGCGATACTTAGAATGCGCCCTCGATACGACTTTGGAAAAGAAATCGTGGACTTTCTTGCAGGCGAGGCTCAAATTGCTGTTGGGCATTTACAAGACCACTTTAGAAGAGGATCTGGAACTGCTGCAGGATAAAGAGTTGGGCGCTAACAAAGTATTGGGAATACGAATGAGGGCGATCGAGAAGAGAATATTGAGAGGTGCCATCGAATATATAGATCAGTGCATCAGGCAGTAGTTGAGGAAAACATAATAACGATACGAAGGAAAGTTAACAGAGATTCAATAAATGTTTCATTTGAATGGATTTTGAAATGTTTCCGACATGTGTGCAAAATAAATAATAATAGTGTTCTGGTTTTAATAATCCATTCGTTGTTTTCCTTGTACCCGTCTATTTGTATTCACTCTTACGCCTATCGCTGAGTAAAATCTTCTGAAATAAATATTTCACATACTTCTATACTGAAACGATTTTTCTGCATCATACTATATAGATGACAATACAATACAATACAATATCCTGTAATGTTTAGTGAACATCGTGAGAACTAAGGAAAATGAGGTAGGAATTGGTGTTCCTCTTGAATTTCTGAAGGTTATATGCCTCGGGGAACACCTCCATTCGTTGGATGAACGAGTCGTGTTTGGGAAGAGATGTTCTGCAGGTTTCCAGAGTGACCACGAAGGGGTGCGAAGCCTCAACTCGACGGATTAATCTCGCGGGGACTGCCAAGGGAGGAACAATTGTTGATATTTCAGAAGAGCATCGTCCATGAAAATATCAATAAAATAGAGCCAGGTCGCCAACTTTTCCAGAGAAGTAAGTGAGTTAGTGAGCGAGGCATCACCCCCGAGACGAATTGCCCTGTTTTGGACAGAATCCAACAGTTTCAGGGTATGTTTGGGTGCTGCACTCCAAATATGGAAACAGTATTCCAGGACAGGTGGGATCTGTGCCTCATAGATCATGAAGTAGCTGACTGGAAGTGGAATAGCTCCTGGCCCGAAATAGGAAACCAAGTTTTTATGCACTTTTAGCAAAATTGATCTCACGTGATTTTTTCAAGAAAGGTTATTGCTGATAGTAATACCAAGCATTGAATACTAATGATACTATTGGATATAAAAACTTGAATACCATATTATCCATTTCTGATTTGAAAAGGAATAGTATTTTTCATTCGTTGTACCTAGTCTTCTGTTACAATGGATTGTCACCCATACTCATCACAATACATGCATGTGGTTATTGTGAAGAACAATATTAATCTTGAGTGTAAATTCAGACAATTCCAGTTTCATTGGTTTCAGACCAGGGAAAAATACCTGCTTATTTGATGCGTGAAACCCATTCGCTTTCACCTCAAAATCTGGCATTCAGGCATACGTAAATGAACAAGGAACACTTGCAATCAGTATTCAGTAGGGTATTCGTTTATACAAACCATTACGTAGATTTCGGGAGCATATATAATTCTCATTCCAGAATATCAGGTAAAAAATTAGCACTGTCCATAGATACAGTTGCCTTCGCTATACCGTGCTTTCATTGAAAAACACTACGTAGGAAAAGTATTCGGTCGTGGTCGGGGCTAGCAGCTACGTAGAATGAGTGCGTGAAGAGGCATGGCTCGCTTTATTCTCCCTCTCATCAATAACGATATCGCACGAGTTATGTCTTATGTGGGGGATAAACGTGAAAGCACGGTATATATGAGAATTAATACACATTCCAATACATTTTATTGTTATACATAAAAGTTAATGCAGGAATAAACGAGCCGAAAGTTTCACCTAAACGAATCAAATTCAGTTGGATCGTGATCGAAGCCCAGCCTATTTTTGGTAAAATTAGCGGGAAACATTCGAATTCGTTGAATAAGAAATCTTGGAATGAGAACATGGTGGCGCCCTCTTAAAATTATTTGACTAAGCTTTCAACATCCTGCTACCAAACAAACGGCATACCGTACAAGTATGTGCATGGTGCAGCAGAGATCTCCTTCATACACAGTCGTGAATAAAATTGTATGCTCCTTAGATGATGATCTAAGGTATGCAGCCAGGATGTTTGTGTCAGAAAGAAATCTAACTATAAATCTATGAATGACATGTTATAAATTTCACACGTAGATGGCAGCAGTAGTAAAATTTTGAACCAGTATCAATTCCCTCACGGAAATCCGAAATCGTCAGTTTCACCGGCGAAGGTAAAAAGTATATAACAAAGATAATCTTGATTATCTCGTGATTAGATTTTGTAAAGTTATTCCGCATAATAAATTCGATTGTACTGTTGTGTATCTCATTCATCAATGAGTTTCGTGGCCTTTTTTGTGTGTCTGTGATTATGATGAATATGAATAATGTTTTCACAAGAGGAGAGTTGATAAAAATCCAAGAAACAATAAAAAATAATAAGTTGTACAAACAAGAACTGAATTTCAAAATCATTGTTATCGGTGACTATGGAGTTGGTAAGTATTCATTTATGAAAAGAACAATAGATTTATTTGATATTTCTCCATGGAATCATAGATCAAAAATGTGAATTATAAATTTGAATATATATAGGTATCATATGATCCCGAATATATATACAGATACTTCATATTATGATATTTCAGAAATCAAGTATAGGTACCTAATTTTCAATTTATTGCAGGAAAAACGTCTATCATAAGAAGATACACTGAAGGTAAGATTATATTTCAATAAATGCATAAAAGTGTATCGCAATGTCTCAGCAAACTTCATGAAATAGGTACTGATAAATATTATTGAATATACTATAGTTATGATTAAAGAAACGAGATCAACCTCGAAAAATATGGTAATTGATCAGAGTTAGATTATTGCCAACATATTATACCTGGGAAATAATTGTTTTAAGTTATTAGTAAAATAAGTACCTAGTAGATTGGTGATAATTTAACTCTTTGCGGAAAATTTCCTTAACAACCATTCAATATTTTAGTCACAAATGAAATTGAATTTGGATTTATATTTCGTCAGAGATTATCACCTGATGAGTAGATGAGTACCTACATCATTCTAAGTCGAATAAGTTTGTTTCCTAGAAAATCGATAAATTGCACATTCTTGGAATAGTTTAGTAGAACTAATCAATATATAGGTTAGTAAAAGAAAAGGGGAATGGACCCATTGGAATTTCCTGGTAGGAAAAGTAAGCTGTTCCTAGTCGAACCTTGACCTCCGTACAGGGTTATCGGAAAGGTAGACTTGTTTTATATTTTTTCAGTGAAATTAGCCATATATTTCTTCTTCTTTCTTGACCATAAAAATTATACTCAGTTATATTGGACGCATCAATATTATTCGCATTTTATACCGCGACATTTTTCCTGCCTGTGAGGTACATTTTTTATACTGTGTTCCGCCAGCGTACATTCCGCTTCAAGAATAGGTACCAACAATGCATTTTTAAAGTAGGTAGAATGAACTAGATAAGATACTAAGTAATTCTTGCATCTATATCCTAAGTCAATGCCAATTTTTCTCGTACTATGATCATCCAATAAGGAATGTCCTTCTGGTACGTCTCTGGGATATACCAAGTACGAAGAAAGGATATCCCTAGGACGTCCCAAGGATATTCCAGGGACACCCCTTCGACAAAATGCAAAAAATGTAGGTCGAGTAGGGATTGAACCCGGGACCTTTATCTTATCAGGCACGCACCTTACTCCATTGGCTAATATGCCTTCTGAAGATTAATGAACCAAACAGATTTATAAACAGGACTAAACTACAGAAACCTGAATAAATACAACTTTATTTTAGGATTTGGCTATAATTATTATCATTCTTGGGTGTTTAAAAATAAGGGGCATTATGCATTTACGATTTCTGTAGTTCTGAGACTATATATTCTTCATTTTCATTACAATTATTTTCCGGAAGAAAAACAAACATTTTCAAAAAAATTCAATTCAATATTTTGATGAAATTCAATGACTCTGATGTGAATGGATTTCAGATATTCCAGAGACACAAATAGGATAACCTAGGGATGTACCGGGCAGGATGTCCACTGGACAACCACTGCGGGACATCCCCTGGATGCCCCAATCATGTCCTCGTACCGCTGGACAAAAAAGGGACGTACCTAGGACATCCCTGTGTTGTTAGGGTTCTATTGGCTGAGCTTATATGAGCCCGAAACATGTTCCTTTACGATTAATCTTTGATCATTCTAATATAAATGTTGTGTCTATATCTTTTGGATAATTGGACACCATTGAATGTACTTTGAACATCATGTTTTATGTTGACTTTTATTCTTATAATAAGGTCTACTTTTCAGGAGAATTCTCCACGGATTATAGAATTACAATTGGAGCAGATTTTGCCATCAAGACTATTGAATGGGATGAAGGCACAAGAATAAATTTGCACGTATGGGACATTGCAGGCCATGAAAGATTTGGAAGTTTACTAAGTGTATTTTTTAGACATGCGTAAGTTTGACTCTCTTCTACTATCTAGTACACTAGAATCACGATCACGATTCCTTGTTCCTCTCATTAAATCGATAAGATATGCACCTCAAACTTCCTGCACAATTACAAATCGTGTCAGTTTAACATAATATTCCTGCCACTTCGCGGTCGGATTATTCATCTGTCAAACTGATATACGATTGGGAACAGAAATATTAGTTATTCGATAATTCATAAAATCTTAATTGAGTACTGTGGAATTGGGTTGCTTGGGACATTGGTGTGAATTAGGACAAATTACATAATATTATAAATCATGTTTTACCATCTATCGGTTGGTAAAAAAGGACATGTTCCCCAGTTTATTACGTCAGACCCTTGCGAAAGTTGGTCAGAGTTCATAATGAAATTGTCACCTCCACAAAGATTAAGGAAAAGAGGCATGGTTTTTAATTGAATCGCTCTAAAAAAATGTTTTCTAATCACTATAATATTTAGTTTTTGGTAATAAATTGAGTTTATTTTTTGTTTTTCGCATTCAACAGACGCCTTCGTTCAGTTCATTTGAATGATATATTGAATTCACAGTTATATTATTGTGCCCTATCATCAAATCATCCTAGAATCCCCAAAAAACATTCAATTTTGTTCCAATTTGAAAATATATTTTTTTAATCTTTTTTGCGTCCCAAGACACCTTGATGAAACGTTTCTTGACGAAAAACATGCGAAATAATGACGTGATCCAAGTGTTATGGGTGACTTGGGACAGCATGTTTTTTCTATACCAAAACGGGTTGATTTTTTTGCACCAAATTCCATCCTAACTTGTAGTCCCAAGTATTTGGCATGATACAGTATTTTTCAAAGTTTTAAAGTTTTTCAACTACGGTCAATTGAATCTTAAAATCGCCCCTGTCAACCAATTCTACGGTATTGGTAATACTCCTAATTAGCAATAAAAGTTCAATTGTTTCAAAATGTTTCCTTATGATTTGTGGCTTATTGCTTACAATGAATTTGTGTGAATTATAATAACATTAATTCACACAAGAGGACATTTGTATTGGTGAACGTGACAATCACGGCGCACGACTTGTGGGGAGTGGTCTTGTCAGTTCTCAGCATTCAGCACAATGTTGCCAAGTCTCCAACATTCACATGATATTTTGTTATGGAGAATAAGACATATTTGGACATGCTGGTTGCTCGAAAAAGTCGAGAATGAACTATAACATCATGGGTTCCTCCTATTATGTTTTATTCAACGACAGGACTCTGACATCTTTTTGATAACTCGATTATAATTGGTAACTTGACAACCTTGCTTCATGAGTGGAAATGAAAGAATACCTGACCAAAACCGAACAGGATAAAAACTGACGTCACCATTTATTCGTGTATCGCCAAATTCAACATTATTGAATAAGGCATAGACTCATTATTTACATAAAAAAAAAACATGAGAAATGTTGCAAAAATTAATTTAGTTCCTTAACGACACAGTGGCGAGTAATTGAATGCCAATACATTAAAAGTCCACTCGCCCATTATAATAGTAGTTATGGAAATGAAAAAAGATTAAATTCGAATAATGTCACAAAAATTGACAAAACTGAGACATGCTCATCACCTATACAGTGTCATTCATAAAGTCGGGATCATATGGGAAAAACTTTTATTAATGACTTATTCTGGAATTCGAGTTGGACGTTGAGTTTTGCTCCAAAAAAGATGGAGAATGGCCTACTCAATCGGGGTCACGTGACTTTCGTTACATGTCAAAAGTGACATTTTTTCAAATTAATCGCTGAAAGTAAGCTTATTTGTTCGAATATCGAAAAAGTTCACTTGAAAAAGTTGTTTCTATTACAATTTTACACATGCTTTTCGAATTTGATCTATCTATTGCAACTTTTAGATTTTGATTTTTCTTTTAATTTTTCGAAATTTCTGTAATATTTGGAGAATTGTTAATTCCACGAAACTACTTCATGCCAGTAGCTTTTTCATGCTACTTACTTTCCATTACTTATTATCACTGATTATGGACAGAAATATGATTATCTTTAGAAAATGATAATAACCCGCTTCCAAATTCTGTTATGTTTGATGCAAAGTTGATATATCGTCAAGCATTTAAAAACAAAATTCATTCAAACTGATCTTTTCAGTACTGAAAAAATAAATCTGAATGAATTTCCTTTCTGAATGCTCGACTCAAACATAACAGAATTTTGATGTTATGTTTGCATCAAACATAACAGAATTTTGAAGCGGAGATTATCATTTTCTGAAGAAAATCATATTTTTGTCGATAATTAGTGATAACTAGTGATTGAAAGTTAGTAGCATGATGAAACTACTGGTATGAAGTAGTTTTATCGAATTTACAATTTTTTTTATATTACAGAAATTTCGAAAATTTTTAAAAAATATCGAAATCTTAAAAATGTAATAGAAAGATAAAATCCGAGTCACATATGTGAAATTTAAATAGAAACAACTTTTTCAAGTAAACTTTTCCGATATTCGAACAAATAAGCCTACTTTCAGCGATTAATTTGAAAAAAATTTACTTTTGACATGTAACGAAAGTCACGTGACCCCGATTGAGTAGGCCATTTTTCATCTTTTTCGAAGCAAAACTTAACGTCCAACTCGAATTTCAAAATAAGTCATCAATAAAAGTTTTTCCCATATGATGCCGACTTTATGAATGACACTGTTATATTATCATAATAAATCTTGTTTTTTTAAGAATACATGAGTTGATGATCGAATTATTATTTTATAGCTCGAGTTTTCATTCTCACAACACATTATTAATAACCTTAAGCATAGATCGTCAAGTTTTCATTCTCACTACACATGTTCCAAATAATAATAGTTCAATTTTGTCACCTCATTGATATATTCAGGCTTAATTTGTCACGTGATTTATTATGATATTGACGATGATGGAGCATATGCCTCCATTTTTTTGTACATTTTTTTTTTTTTCTTTCTTTTTTTTTTTTTTTTTTTTTTTTTTTCGCAATTGCATACCTCGTTAGTCCCAGCACTGGGACCAAACGCCCCATAAGTCGAAACTTGTGCGGGGTTAGGTATACATACAAACACAAACATCCATGGCCTAACTAGGATTCGAACCTAGGTCTCGGTGGGAGTCCCCATACGAACTCAGCGCCTTAACGCTCTCGACCACCGAGCCGCCATTCCATTCCATCTTCTTCGATATCTATTTTCATTTCAATAACTATAGGTATGAATTGTAATTGGCTGATGATGGGCATGTATACGCCCGAAACATGTATCTTCATCACTCTAAATAAAATTTGTGGAGATGACGTTGGGTTTTCGTTTTCATCCAGGAACAACACCATTCCACTTTGAGTTATTATGTATTTCTTCCAGAGATCAGTTATGTGTATATAAAAAAGTACTTTAGAGCCGTTTTGAGCCTAGGAACTAATAAGTTTAACCGTGAAATGTTATTTTTGCTCAGCCATTGAAAATATAAGCAAGATGTATTGCCTATGTGGTGTCACAAAAATGTCAATTTAATTTCAAAACACATTTGTGGAAGATGACTTAATTTTCATCAATGTAATTTTCCTTGGATTATTTTCTAAATGATTCAGAAACCCAAATTAACAACCAGAATACTTGTTTTTCACCTAGTCCTTATTTCAAATAATTTTCCAGGGTTGCTGCTGCTATTGTTTTTGATTTGACTCGACCAGACACTTTTAAATCTGTGGACAAGGTTTGTTACTATATTTACAATAACTATTATAGCACTCAATCATGTTTTCTGCAGTGGCTTATAGATTTAAGAAGAAAAATTCAGGCACCTGATGGACAAGCAATACCTGTGGTCATTTTAGCAAACAAGGGTGACATAATAGTCAAAACAGTGCCACAAGAAATTGATGAATATTGTAAACTGAACAATATTTTAGCATGGTATATCACATCAGCAAAAAATAATATGAATATTGGTAAGATTTATGATCCTATTATTTATTTATTATGAGACATTGAATATTAATGAGTATTAATTGAATAAAGAAAATTGAAACAAACAAATATGAGTGAACAATAATGAAGGATAATATCAAGTCTAGTAATCTTGCTGAGGAAAATATTATCCTTCAATTTTGTATTGCTGTAATTGGGTTATAAAATGAAAGAATTTGATGAGGAATTAATGCAATTTCCAGGAAAATTTCAATGGGAATCAATTGAGCCCTGGTCAGTGATATGGTTTTCCATGTGTTGAGCCACATGAAAATCAAATAAAATTGAGACAACTAATGAGAACTTATGATCTCGCTTATGATTTTCAGATGAAGTCATGATCAGATTAACAAATGCAGCAGTGAAAAATCATTATGGCTTACAATGTTCATTAATAACTGAGGAACCAATTCGATTAAGTGACAATACTCTAAACAACACACAAGAAGGAAGAAAATGTTGCTAAAATTCATAATATATCAAAGGATCTGGTTCCTTAATGAAAAACCTCATATCCAGAGCTGAATGAATCACCTTTGTTATCCAACAATATGTATATTCTATAAAAAAATTATGTAGTCAACATGTACAACACTTTGGTGTGCTAGGTCTTTTTTTGTAGATACCTACAATACTCATTTGAGAAGGGTAAGGAACTCAAATTGCATAGGAATCCAAGAATCTTCAATTATATACCTCAATCAATTTGTGGTAGCTATTCAGTCAATTTCATAAACAAATGGAATACCCAATAGAATCTCTTTTGGGCGGTATTATCACTATATACAGTATGTACCTGAGGATAACAGAAATCAAAGAAGTTTGTCAATCTTCAGTCAAGTAATTTAGTACAATTTAGTTATCTTTGAACTAGTAAAATTTTTAATATATGAATTCCTGTGAATTTTGTTGCAAATTTCCTCTGTACAGTAATCTTTATTATGTGTTGTGATTTTCAACACACAAGAATATTAGAATATGAAAAAATGTATATACCTGGAATGTACTCCCAAACAAGCACTATTTCATCTGAGTAAAAATGAAGCTGACTAGATTTTAACAATTTCTTAACATTCCTCAGAATATTTAATCTTGACTCAATTAAATCATTTTGTATTCTTAAAGCATCAGGAAATAAATATAGAATTAAAGAATCACAAATGTAAGCTAATGATAAGTACTCAATATTCTGTAATACAGATGTTCCATGATTAGTGTGTGATACTTTGGTAGTACATTCTATGTCTGAAGTAAGAATAAGGTGGATTTTCATGAATATTAATTGTATATAAGTGACATTTGAAATTTTTGTTAGGGAGTGTATTGAGCAGTAATCCACTCTCCCAAAAACAAACACAGATTGTATGGAATAGGTATTATTAATATGAGATCGGACATTTGCTTTGTGAGATCAGGAATATCAAGCCCTGGGATTAGACATATTAAAACAGGATTATACACCTTGTATACACTGGTATACATATATTGGACATAGTGGTCAACCACTTGAAGTGTATCAAACAATGCTCACTTTCACTTGCAATTTCACTACAGAAATTGATGAAATTTTCAGTTCCAAACTAAAATATTATGATCTCCAAGCAAAAATCATGCATTTACCTATTGAACATCTCATACTGACAAATACCATCAATTTGATATTTTTCAAAATGATTTATGTTATGCAATTTCCCCAGGCAATTTCATGCTGGATTATATGTTTGAATCAATTTTTACCACATAACTTTTCAATTCATTATTCCTGTTTGACTGCCATACTACTGAATTCTGATTCACCTGTTGATGTGTTCAAATTTATAAATTTACTCTTATCTCTCTGGTTACTTGGTAGAATCTCAAACAAAACAACCAGAATATTTCACCTGGATTATTAAATAACACATATTTACTACAACTATCAAAATGTTAATAAAATGATTTTGTTTACATTCTATTCATTCAGCTACCTCCCATCTTCTGTGCAGCAGCTATTGCACTTTCATTAGCTAGTACTTGGAATTCTTGGAATCGTTGGGATATCCTTTGGTTAACTTTCAGGAACTTTTCAAGACAATTAAGAGCACATTTTTCCTATAATTCAATGGGTGCTCAAATGACCAATGTTTCATATTACCAAATACAACTTACTTCCTTTCCTTTGATACTCCTTGAAGTGAAATCCGATATACAATCAGTAAAACAGAGTTCTGTTAGTTTGTTGTAGGAGATTAAAAAATCTTTGAACTAAAAAAGAAACTGGGATAATTCCTTCAGCTCCTCCTTCAGTATAAATTGGACAAATATAATCTTACAGTTTTGATTTGATCTGGATCTATATTTTCCAAGCCAGTTGCACCAGGTGGTAGAGGGACACTCATTTCGTTTCCTTCTGTTTGACAATATTATAGTTCTGATTAATTCGTAGAGTTCGTGATAAATTTATTAATTTTTATTAACTCATGAGCTGATAACTGATCGAATCAGACTTGAAAGGTTAGGTTAGGTATTCTTCCTATTATTACGTAAATATATTGAGTGTGCTTAACATTTACAGCCATAGCAATGTAGGCAATGGTCACCCAATGAACTGTCCACTGAGTTTCCAGCCTGGTCAGTGCTGCGTCTCAAATCTGACACCTGTCAATAGTGTCATCTGTGACATCTGTTCGCTCTCAACGTTGTTCACATGTTTTCATTTTAATCTGTTTCGTGGTTTTGTGTTCAAAATTCAGTTTCACCCGCGTATCGGATCATTTTAAATTCTACAAAATTCATAAAATCGTTGCGTTTTACTTTCAACATGAAAAAGTGTTAGAGACTAATCATCGCTACATCTCATCTAAAATGTGTTTGTATTCCACGAAGACTTGTAGCAAAATCTCGAGTGAAATCATCAATGTTTGTACAGAATCACAAGTTAACCTTAAAGTTTGTTTACAAACATGGCAAATAAACATAAACCTATGCAGAAAAGATTAGCCAGATGCCCAGAAAAGTCTCAGAGGAATGTGAATATTATAAAACATTTTCAACCCAATGTTCGTTTCAACAGGTATCACGTGAATTGTGAATTACCAGAAATTAATGCAGATGTTGATACCACAGTTGATACCAAAGAAAACTTTTCTAAAATAAAGAAAAAGAGACTCTCCATAAGAACAGCAAATTCAAGTAATAAAACTCAAAGAATTGCAAACATCAATGATGAAGAAAATAGATTTGTCAAAAAAATTGGTACTAATAATTATATAACCCAATCAGTATTATCAAAGAACAAATTATGCATTACTAGTGGTTCTTCTTCCAGTAAAGAATTCAATACTACTATATTGAAAAATATTACTTCTGTCAATTCTTTAAAAATACCTTATGATAGATCATCTATGAGGTCATCTATGACTTCTATGGGAGCATCAAGTAGAGCAAATAGTAACTTCAAACAAAAACACTATCAATCAAAGAAAGCCAAAACATGTTCAGTTATCAACAAGAAAAAAAGCAATATCAGTATGGACAGTTTGAAGGACAAATATGAAAATAAGATTTCTCCCATCAGTAGCTTGAATTTAAGCAGAAATCTCATCTCAGATTTGAAGAAGGAAATAACTGAAAATCAATCAAGACACCCAGGTACTCCTCATCTAAAACCAAATAATGCTATCAACCCTAGAAGTGGAACTGTGGAACATCTTAGGGATGAAATAAAAAATCTAATTAATACTAACCTGTTTGATAAAAGAAAACATCTAGCTGAAATCAAGGCAGAAATATCTAATTTTCGTAAGTCATCAGGAGATGTTCTAGTCTATAATGTTAACATTGGAAATAATGAATACAAATCTAATAGCCATGAAAGTATTGGAAATATAACTTCCAATGATAATTACATGAATAGTTCCCAGGATAGTTCCAGTGAAAGAGAAGTGATCAAGGATAATCACCAGATGAGATGTAGCAAAGCATTACAATCATGTCATGGGAATATCAAAGGAAAATCAAAATCTCAGAATAGTTCCAATACAAGTAAGAAATAAACCTTATATAAAGCACTTCATTGTATTTCAAATTCTCTAATTATTTTCTCACCATAAATGAGTAATTAGAAAATTGATTATTTATTGAAACATAGCATAGTACTTGATGATCCTATGCCTAGGGCAGTCTTGAAAGTTGTTCTTTCACAGGTTTTGTTTCAGGAGCAATTGGCCAAGAAGAGGGCAAAGGGTAAGTGTATTTCATTTAAATATCTTGACATTTATTTGAACAGTGCATATCTGACTCTGCTGAACAATTGAACTCAAGAGAGAACTCATAATATTGAGATATTAATCTGATTTTGTCTTTCTTGATTTTCATAATTGTTAGTATTCAACTTGCTATTAAAATCAATGTTGATTTTCAACAAAATAATCCACAATGAAGAATAGGCTATTTACTCGGCTATTTATATGAATTATTGTAGAATAAGAATGAGTATCTTTCAGGCACAAGGGATGCAAATTGTCCTATGAGATGAATCCAAATTGGATATATGTATAATAAGTACCTAAAAGTCCAGCTAAAAGACATTGTTTGATAATGTATAATATAAAACAGGGTTTTTCTTACTTATGTTATTTGATAAAAATAATACATTATCTGTTTTACTTCTCTCCATTTCACACAGTAGTAAACATAGATTTTCTAGTAGAATATCAATGACAAATGGAATGGATGAGTATTACTAATTTTAAACATCAGTAGACCGATTTTTTTTCGGGACTATAGAAGGTTTCACGAATACATTTGGCAGTTTTACATCATTCATTGCAAACTGCAAGACATGATTACTCATTGAAAATGCATTATAACCAACATCAGTCTGAAAGATGTGTTGCATACATTCAGGGTAGGATCCTCTTGTTTATTTGCTAAAAGGAAGCTAAAACATTTTATGGCTAAAATGAGATTGCTGAAGAATCAGTGGGTATCTATATCAATAACTAGTATAAATATGTTCATAACCAATTTAGCAATAGAGAAAATAAATTGCACTGTCTTTTCCTGCCATTTATTTTTGGGGTGAGGGAATATAGATATTCAAAGTATAGATATGCCTGATGGAGTATGCCTTCTCTACTTCTAGAATTCAAATTCAGAAAACCATAATGTTATTTTAATTTGCCTACCTACACTGTGTCAGAGTTGACTACTCAGTGTAATAATCTAGGGTCTAAATCTGGCTTAAGGTCAATGCGCACCGCGGTCAATTTAATATTTACCAGTTAAAAATGAACCGAAAATGGAAAGGTCCATTGCGTGCAAACAAGGTCGGGTACAATGTACAATCCATGCTAGGATCGATTATTTTTTCATTTTGTTCTGAAGTTTTATTATCCGAAAAATACTATCTTGGAAGAAGGAGCATTACGGCCGAGTAAGGTTAGATTGTTCAGAAAAAGTCTCGGAAAATGTCGAGGAAAATGTAGTCTCCTTCATATACTTTATAGGAAGAATGTTCATTAAGGTCGAGTGAGGTTAGATTGTTTAGAAACAGTGGTCTTTCGGAAAATATACTTTCTATGAAGAAGGTTCATTTAGGCCAAGTGAGGTTAGATTGTTTAGAAAAAGTAGTATCCTTTCTACTTCTAAGATATCCTTCCTCCCGATTTTGTTAAGAACGTTTCATATGTACATAAGACCGAAGGTAACTTGCACGCAATTGCCCTATTCATTACCCCAGTGAACCTAGCAGAACCATTTCAATATTCAAGATTTGCAATACTGCTCTAATTTGTTAATAATTTAGTACTAATATATTACCATATTCCCGAATTGAATACCCTTCATTTAACAGAAAAAGCCATCGGCTCTGCTAGCTTTATGTCAACCTAGCAGAACCGTAGCTCAGAATTATGTTGTTTTTTAACTTTAAATATATCATAATTTAGTACTATTTCATTACTAAATCGTCGATTTGTCGTCGATCTCAACCTAGCAGAACTAAAACTTGGAACCGAGCTCGAAACACATGTTTTTTTGAAATTCCATTGGGTCCTCAATAACTTACTAATTCATTACTAATTTATTACCACATTCGCAAAAAATTCATAACCCTACATTCAACAGAAAAAAACCCACGGCTCTTCGAGCTTTATGTCAGCTTAGCGGATTCATAGCATTGGATTTAGTTTTTTGAAAACATGAAATATACCATAACTAATTTATTATAGTCTTTGCAAAGTCACTTGGTTCAACTTAACACATCACCGGCAGCACGTTTGAACTATTCAATAAGACCAGTGGACGTGTTCTGATCAAGCTGTCTCAAGTGATTCTGTAAAGACTTTACGACTATAACGAATCTGCCACTTTCCATTTGGAGAATTAAATCGCCAATTCGTCAATTTCTATATCAACCTAGCAGAGCCAATAATACTCGGATAACATGTTTTTGGAAATTCCATTCAGTTCATGATTTATTACTATTTAATTACTTATTTTTTGCCACAATCATGAATCTGCCATTTCTCATTCCAAGAAAAAAATCACAATTTGTCTATGTTTGTTTATCTCAACTTAGCATCCAGAACTCGAATGACGTATATCTGGAAATTCCATTCAGTTCGTTCACTTCTTATCTTAAATCCGAAGTATGTTGTAAAATAATTATCTTTTTCGTCAAAACATCTTAACAAACGTGGAAATACTGTGAATTTGTCCCATCAAGTGACAGCAAAGACTATGATGAATTAGTTATAGGATAGTAATGTACTATATTTCAAGTTTTCAAAAAACTAAAACCAATATTATTCCGCTAAGTTGACAGAAAGCTAGCAGAGCCGTTGGTTTTTTCTGTTGAATGTAGGGTTATGAATTTGCGAATTTGTCAATGTGGTAATACATTGATAATGAATCAGTAAGTTATGGAAGACTCAATGGAATTTCAAAAAATATGTGTTTCGAGTTATGGTTCTGCTAGGTCCAGATCGAGATTGAAAAATCGGCGTTTATTTTTTCATATAATGATGAGTAAAAAATTCGTGATTATAGTAATAGGTTAGTAATGAAATATTACCAAGTTATAGTATATTTGAAGTTGAAAAAAAATTATGTTGAGCTAGGTTTCTACTAAATTCACATAATACCTAATGCTAGCAGAGCTGTTGGTTTTTTTTTTCGTAAATGAAGGGTATCAGATTCACATATATGGAAATAAATTAGTATAGCACTATTGCAAATCTCAAATATCTCATATATTGAAATGGTTCTGCTAGGTTTATTAGGTTCTATTCATCCATAGATCTCATTTAGATCTATGTTTCATGTATGTACGCTGGTTTCATCTAACTACTGCGCGCAATCGTCTGTTGCCCCTAAATCATGTATAGGAAGTGTG